ATATGTTTCAAATTTCCACTAGGCATTTAAGAAGGTAGCATGGAAAAAAAGAAAGTCGTAAAAACTTTTTTCTATATAATCGGGGGAGGGGGCATTCTAAATTTTTGGAATTCTTATTTTGTCTGTTTTGCCTCTGAGATAATACCTCTTAGTGTTGGCTAAAATGCCTGTCCTGTGAATAATAACAGCTTCAGCTCTTCACACTTACCCTTTAGTCAGGAAAATCCATTTGCTCTTGAACTTCAGTAGTTTGTTTTTCTTCCTACTGGCTCAGTGTTGCAATTTTAGTCACAATATACAAATAATAAAATGGTAAACAAAACTGCTTGGATTTACAATAAGGAAGTATATATATGAAAATATTCCCCAATAGTACAGCAGCAAACTCTTAGCTACCTACCAATCTGAAAACTTTTACATTTGTTTAAAAAAAAAAAAACACAAAAAAACACAGAGATTCTTTTTTTCCATGCTCCTAAATGGGGCCAAACCAAAAACCTGTAGCAGAACATCCTGCTACATCACTCCCCAGCTGTAGTGGGGCATGGCCTTGTCTGAGACTGTGCATACATAAAAAATGCTCTGGTAAGCACTAGCCGGTTTGGCTCAGTGGATAGAGCAGTGGCCTGCAGACTGAAAGGTCCCAGGTTCGATTCTGGCTCAATCTCCAGTAGAGGGCATGCAGAAGGCAGCCAATGAGTGATTCTCTCTGATTATTGATGTTTCTATCTCTCTCTCTCTCCCTTTCTCTTTGAAATAAATAAAAACATATTTTTTAAAAATGCTCCAGTAAGTGTGGCACTTGGTGTTTTGCAAAAGAGAGAGAGGGAGGAAAGAAAATGTGCTAATTAACTTCACTCACCTGATCATTCTCTAAGAAAATTCTTAGCACATTCTGTTGCAACATAAAAAAAAACAAACAAAAAAACGGAATTCCATAAAAATGTTTACTTAGTACTGTTAATTTTATCCTTTCAGGTGTCCTTCATTTCCTCTCTCCCGTTTTGCTCTTTGTTTTTCTTTTAAGCCCCCATAGATGGTTTTCCTAGTTTTTTTTCAATGAATAGAATCGAATCCTTAGCAGTTATTTATTTTTCTGTTCTCGAGGAACACAAACTATTTCTTGCAGATCAAATCACTTGAAAACGTGAAGTGTGTAACTAAATATGCAGATTATGTTAATTATTTTGGTAGCTAGCCACATTAACCAGTTAGAAAGTTGGACTAATTGAAATGTTTCAAAAGGGAACTGAATGGAATGGTGCTTTTGACCCAGTAACTGAAAGTCCAGTCCTAACACCTCACTCTGAGAATTCTCCCAACATTATTTGGTTTTCCTTAGGCATAGAAAAACATCATGATTTTCATGATTTCAGATAGCTGCTGTGTAATTAAACCGATAGGCATTGCCTTCTGTGGCTTCCATCTAGAAATTATTCCAGCTCGTGAAGAGTCGTCTATGTGTCATTCATTTCTCTGCACTTACCAGTGTTGTGCCCAGTTGAAAAACAAGTTAGATAGGACCCTACTGAAACCCCAATATCTGCGTTATCATCATCCTCTTTAGTAGCTTCTTAGATTTGGACTATTACTTGGATGGGTTTGATAAATGTCCTTTTCACCGGCAGTTGTTTGGAGAGAGTGTAATACCACAGTCTGAGGACAGTAAGCACCTGCGTGCCTGACATACATGAGTTGATTGCCCACATCTCTCGGTATATGTTTGAAAAAAATTTTTTTAAATAAAAGCAAGCGAATTAGCTACTTAAGCTGGGCCCTTTTTCAGAGTCAGCAAACAGGAAACGATTAAAATATGGGGTTCATACTAGCAACCAGAGGAAATTGAATGAATTCCAAGTTGTTACAGTTTATCACTGGCTTAATTTCATGACACACATTCCTTCTTTCCTCTACATTACATGCACTTTAAAAAAAAATTAAAAGTAAATTAGAATTAATTCTCAATTTAAAATTTAGGCAAAAATAGGACTGATTTCATATAATTGGGCATGCCTGGGAGAGTAACACAAAACCATAAACAGACATGAATAATCTCCATAATAGATGTCTGGGGCCTGTAATAATAGCACTACACCCATTTTGCACAGACATAGAAATGGTGTTCATGTCAGATGTTTTGCATTCTCATATGTAAGTTTTGGGGGAAAGCTTATTTTCTCAAACCTATTTGGAAGAGTCGCCCTTGGTCATTTTTCCTTAAAATTGCTTTTTAAATAAATCAGTGTTTTACAATTAATTGATTTAATTCATTTGAAATCGATGCTTTCGTTGTTTCAGAATTTATGCGTTTATCAAGATTACATTACTAAACTTCAGACATGAGTACTTTTATGAGAGGGGAAAGAGGACTATGCCAATTAACTGTAAGAATTGGTTACTTATCCTCATTTTCTTAATTTTTTAAAAATAAAAATTTTTATTGATTTTAGAGAGGAAGGGAGAGGGAGAGAGAGCTAGAAACATCAATGATGAGAGAGAAGGTTGATTGTCTGCCTCCTGTGCACCCCACTCTGGGGATTGAGCCTGTAACCTGGGCATGTATGTGCCCTAACCGGAATTTGAACCATGACCTCCTGGTTCATAGGTCAACTATCAACCACTGAGCCATGCCAGCTGGGCTCTTTGTTTTTTAAATATATATATATTTGTTGTTGTTGTTGTTGTTGTTGATGATGATGATGATTTTAGAGAGGAAGGGAAAAGGAGACAGAGATAGAAACATCAATGAGAATCATTGATGGGCTGACTCCTGCAAGCCCCACTCCCGGGATCAAGCCCGTAATCTGAGCATGTATCCTGTCTGGGAATCGGACCACAACCTCCTGGTTCATAGGTCAGCCAAGCCAGCTATGCCATCCTCATTTCTTTTCAAATTATATTGTTCTTGGCGTGGATTGGTGCCTTGTTGACTGCTGCTGATTGAGGGGGAGAAGGTGTGAAGGAAGAAAGGATTGACTGATTTTGATTGTCTTTGTTTGCTACAAAGAAATTTAGCCAAAACACATGAACAGCTGTGTTCAGAATGCTGCATCATCTCACTGTAAGTCATCTACCAAAAGCACTTCTAAATTCTAAGCAAGCCAACCATATTGATAATTAAATGTTCACCAAAGTACCCGTGTTAATTTTCATTATAATTTGACATGTGTTAGAGTTAATGATCTGTTCTGGGCAAAGACATACTAAATACGGTGTCCATTTTATAACACATGGAGGCAATTTTTCTCAAAATCATTACAGGTTTTTAGTTGCAGCCTTTTTGCATCCTGTTGGTTATAATTAGTACTTTAAAAAAAAAAAAAAAAATATATATATATATATATATATATATATATATATATATATATATATTATTGAATTTTTTACAGAGAGGAAGGGAGAGAGCTAGAGAGCTAGAAACATCAATGAGAGAGAAACATCAACCAGCTGCTTCTTGCACACCCCCTACTGGGGATGTGCCCACAACCAATGTACATGCCCTTGACCAGAATCGAACCTGGGATCTTTCAGTCCACAGACCGACGCTCTACCACTGAGCCAAACCGGCTTCAGCATAATTAGTACTTTTTGACACCGAATCCTTGATTACGAAATAAACTTAATTCTAATATGTTTATAATTAATTTTAAGTACTTTCAAGGAATATTTTTTTTCTCTCACTTTTTTATTAAGGTATTATATGTGTACATATCTCACCATCCCCCCCACTCCCATACATGCCCTCCCTCCCCAGAGTTTTGCATCCATTGGTTATGCTTATATGCATGCATACAAGTCCTTCGGTTGATCTCTTATCTCCCCCATATCTCCTTATCCTCCCCGCTGTAATTTGATAGTCTGTTGCTTTACTGTCTGTATCTATCTTTTTGTTCATCAGTTTGTAATGTCCCTTATTATCCATAAGTGAGTGAGATCATGTGGTGTTTTTCTTTCATTGACTGGCTTATTTCACTCAGCATGATGTTCTCCACTTCCATCCAGGTTGTTGCAAATGATAAGAATTCCTTCTTTTTTTCAAGGAATATTTTAAAGTCAAATGTGTAAGCTTCTTGTATCAGTTTGGCTTACCACTTCCTGTGATAGCACTGCTCCTGGGGGTTTCTTCCCAAAACACCTGCACACACCTCAGGTGGAGTTGCCTCTATCTTTCCAGCTCTGCAACTTCATTCTACAAGCCCGTCCACATTAGAGTTGATAGTAAGGCGACTCACCCTTTACCCTCCCCCTGGGAAGAATTGGCACAATCGCTTACAAACATTAAAATCTTTGGCAACATAAACATTAGAACAGCTAAGTGATATTGAAATTGGATACCAAAATCTCAAGAGAATGAAAAATAGTATTTCATGCTTTGTGCCATCTTCCAACTAAAATGTTAAGCCCCAGCCAGTTTGGCTCAGTGGATGGATAGAGCCTCAGCCTGCGGACTGAAGGGTTCCGTCAGAGTCACATGCCTGGGTTGTGGGCTCAATCCCCAGTGTGGGGTGTGTAGGAGGCAGTCTATCAATGATTCTCTCTCATCATTGATATTTCTCTCTCTCCCCCTCTCTCCCTTCCTTTCTGAAATCAGTAAAATTATATTAAAAGAAATAAAATGTTAAGACATTTCCAGCTTTTAGGGTGGTGTGTGTGTGTGTGTGTGTGTGTGTGTGAATAGCTTTGTCATAAGATTTTGGTGATTGCCAGTGTAATGTTACCAATTGAAGCAAACTTCCCTTTTCATTAATGATGCTTAAACATATTTAAAAATAGGCGAGAGAGAGAAAGAGAAAACAAAAGTTAAGTAGTTGTCTCCCCAAAGGTAGTCTACACCCCAAGTGGTGTATAAGATTTCACAATAGGGGTACAAGAAAAAATATTAGAGCTTCTAATTAGTTATTTTTAGCTAATACTTTACATTTCTACTTTTTCTTTGCTTAATGATGTACATAATACTCAGTTATATATTGAGGGGAGTGGCTGCTTAAAAACTAACTTTAGTGCTCCCTTCGGCAGCACATGTACTACAATTGGCACAACACAGAGAAGCTGAGCGTGTCCCTGCTCAAGGGTGAAACAAGCTTGTGAAGCCTTAAGAAAAGCAAACCTGCCCGTAGGGCGTGGCTCCATGGTTGAGCATCTACCTGTGAGCCAGGAGGTCAAGGTTTGATTACCATCAGGCACCTGCCCAGGTTGAAGACTCCATCTCCAGGGTGGGGCGTGCAGGAGGCAGCCGATCAGTGATTCTCTTTCATCATTGATGTTTCTATTTCTCTCTCCCTCTCCCTTCCTCTCTGAAGTAAAAAAAAAATACACATTTTTTAAAAAGAAAAGCAAACCTAATTTTATATGAGTGCATTCTCAAAAAAGCTGGAAGACTACTCCAGGAGACACTGCAGGGCACAGAGACTCATCCTTTGTTTTGAGGTCATTTCTCAGAAAGAAGAAAATCGTGTTAAAGAAAGGGAAAAAAAGTAATTTTATTATGGTATCTAGTTTGCATTTTAAAAATTGAATACTCTATATTAAGCTTCATATTGCTTCTCTGTTGTTTGGGAAACTTAAACTTTTTATGATTTCATTATGTTCTCTCATATTATCTACACATGTTAATACTTAGAGCAATATGAAGAAGACAGAGAGCAGGAGTGCTTTTGCTGCTGCGCTTTTCATTACTGGGGCATCACTTTTTGAAGTGGCTTGCACCTTAACAGGAATATTTTTGAGAGCTGACTCTTTCATCATCATGTTACTGAGCTATAACTAGCTTTATTTTTTTTAATATATTTTTTATTAATTTTATACAGAGAGGAAGGGAGAGAGAGAGTTAGAAACATCGATGAGAGAGAGTCATCGATCAGCTGCCTCTTGCACACCCCCTACTGGGGATATGCCCGCAACCAAGGTACATGCCCTTGACCGGAATCGAACCCGGGACCCTTCAGTCCCCAAGCTGACGCTCTATCCATTGAGCCAAACCGGTCCCGGCCTATAACTAGCTTTATTTAGATAACTAAGTTATCATTTAAGAATTTAGATACAATATATGAATACTTGGATTGGGGTTGTAGAATAAGGTTATAAAAAGCTTCCTCTTTTTTTAAAAAGTTCTTTATTGTTTAAAGTATTACATAAGTCTCCATTTCCCCCCATTGACTTCTCCCCGTCACCCCCTCTCTACCCCCCATTTCTCCCCCATCTGTGCCCATTGGTTATGCTAATATGCATGCATACAAGCCCTTTGGTTGACCTCTTACCCTCCCCCTCTCCTGCCTTCCCTCATAGATTGGACAGTCTATTCGATGCTTCTATAACTCTGATTCAGTTTTTGTTCATCAGTGCATGTTGTTCGTTATATTCCACAAAGAGTGAGACCGTGTGATATTTATCTTTCTCTGACCGGCTTATCTTCCTCTTGAAAGTTCCATGTTGAATCATTTTGCCTTCAGCTAATTTTTAAAGAAACCTCCCTTGATGGTCTCCCATGAAGAAGTCATTGACTTTGGTTAGGTCCAAGGCAAAGTGTCTTTTACTCACTTCGGCGCATCTTGAGTTTAGCTCTAAGGCAGTGGTGGGGAACCTTTCTCTGCCAAGAGCCATTGGGATATTTATAAGAGCCTTCAAGGGCCACACAAAATTACCAACCTGAAAATTGGCCTGCTGAATTTGATTAAACATTTAATGAACTCACCCAGACCAAATGATTTTGAGGGCCTTACACAGCTCATGGGCTGTACGTTCCCCACCCCTGCTCTGATGTGTCAAAACAAAATTTGTGACAGGACAGAGTTTTAAGTAAAGTCGATATAATATAAAATATTAATAGAAATTACATTAATTCAAAACGTATTTTCTTTTAGTTCACAGGAGGATGAAAGACCCATGTCACCTTTCTATTTGAGGTACTTATTTGATTTTTGTTGGTCTATTACAGGGGATGGAGGAGGGTTGAGGCTTCTTTGGGTCTCTTTGTCCATTTTCATTCTTTTCCATAGAATATTCTACATTGTGGCCAGACTGAGCTTTTTGGAACTTCTTGCCATGTTGTTCATGCTCTGGTTTTCCCCTCTTTGGTTTAACAAATTTTAATATAGTTGAAAACACTAAAATAAGATATTTTGTTTTGCATGCAGAAATGTTAAAGTAGCCATTTTAACTTCAAAAACTGCCTGATAATTAGACGGTAACCTAAATTTAAAATTTTTTTCTTCTGAACATGGAGTCTGGGAGGAGTGGGAGCACAAAGCTTACTTGCTGAAGAAGCTTTAGGTTATGTTAAATCATTTCCTGTGTAGGCAGTGGCATGAGGAAGTAAATATTCAGTAAGGTTATGGAATTCGGGATCATTTTCTAAAGCTTTTAATGCTAAAATATCACCGTTTAAAGCAGGTAAGTTTACAGAATGTTGGGGTGGATCACATCTCTCCAGACAAAAAACGTTTGTTTTGCATATTCATGTGATTTTTAGTGAATAATTCAACTTGGGTATAGCCTAGAGCCAAGTTTTTCTTACTGCATTTCTTTCCTCACGACCTATCTACTTCAGAGGCTTAGAAAATATATTTGAAAATAATATTATCATATTAATTAAAGTTAATTGCTAAAGTTTTGCCCTGACCAGTTTGGCTCAGTGGATAGAGCGTTGGCCTGCAGACTAAAAGATCCCAGGTTTGATTCGAGTCATGGGCATGTGCTTTGGTTTCAGGTACATCCCCAGTGGGAGGTGTATAGGAGGCAGCTGATCATTGTTTCCCTCTCATCAATGTTTAAACTCTCTATTCCTCTCTGTAAAAAAAAAAATCAATAACATATATATTTTTTAAATTGCTAGAGTTTTTAAAAAAATGTTCTCTCTTTTTTTTTTTAAGAACTGTTCAGTATATGTGGTACATAGTTTGTATATTTGTTTTTTAATCTGATTGTGGCAATCATTAGATTTAGACGTTAATTCAAGCACCAATAGTTCCGAAATATGTCTTAGGACTTCAGGCTTAGCCTGGTGTTCTGGCGTTTACTGACTTGAAGCTTACTGTGTAATCACTTTGTGGCAAGAGAGGGGACATTTGAGGTTTCTGTCTGAGACAACATGGTGGTCCATTTGATTCCTCCTGGTTTCCTGCCAACCAAGTCAGCATATTCTAGTTCATAATCTATCTCAACTGTGCAGTTACTGTCAACACACGAGATGATGTTGCTGAGCACATGGTGACGCTGGTATTCATTATGTAAATACAGTAATATCAAACATGATTATCGTATATTAATGAAAATTAAGTTTTACATAATACAGAAGATTAAAACACAGGATCTTGCCAACTAATGAGAACTACCCCAATATTTGTTCTCTGACTGTCTTGTATTTATTACTCTAGGTAACATCAACCTATGTTTTACATAGTCTTAAATTTTATTTTTTTAACCACTATTGTAAAAAGCAGATGGGAGAAATGGGCTTATAACTCATAAATCCTCAAAGACAGAGAATTGTGTCTTATAATGTGATAATTTTTGTAATTACCTAGACTAACAGAGCAGTCTTGAAAAAGAAATTCTATACTAGCAAAATGAAGGTAAAAGAGTGTAGAGAAAATTAATATTGTTAAGAGTCATAAAGACTAAAATATGATAAAAATTAGGAAAAAGAATGAATATGTATAATAACCCACTTTTACAGTAGAGGTCAAGTTGGAAAAAACAAACAAACAAAAAAACAGGAAGTTACCAGCAGGAATTCTTTTCACATGAGGAAAATTTAAACTTAGTGGAGCTATTTTATAAGTGCAAAAATCATAATTATTTGTCTTGAAGTTAAAATTTCACATGCAATTTTTCTGAATAACAGTGTAATAGTCTTAGAAATTATGTCAGAATTAGATTTGTACAGGTTAATTTAGCTTTTGTTTATTATGCACTTGACATGAAGCTGGAAGAACATATTAGTAAAACAAAAAACCCTTTCCCCCCCCTAAATTATTTGCATGGCTGGTTAGAGATTAATTTTTCTAACAGAAAGAATTCAAGTAGAAAAAAGAAAACATGATTGTTAATTATGATTAAGTACTTCTAGAATTTTGGACTAGAAACATAACTTGTCCACTGATAATTTAATTTATAAATTAGTGTGCTTTTGTACTACCTCTCATAAGAGCAAATGAATGCTTAACAACAAGACAGAATCTGTTTTGGGGTAAGGATTTTAACCTTTGTCATCTCATGCCACACAAACTAATTATTAATACTATAATTCTGTAGCATACCAAAAAAAAATATTTTTTTGCTGATCTAACAAAAGAAAAGGTATAATTTTTTATTCATTCACATCGGACAGCTATTGTTGTGTTGACTATTGTCATTTTTTTTTTTTTTTTTTACAATCTAAGGGATTGTAAAACAATCAGATATTTCATGTTTTAAAAATTCTTGTGGCACAGCAGTTGAAAATGGCCAGGCTGGAGGATCGAGCTGGAAGCATGCAGTGAGTGTACTAGCGGAAGCTCCTGTGGCTAGGAGAGGGGGTGGGATGCAGGACAGGGAGCCAGAGAGGAGTTTCAGTCGTTACCTTGCTCTACTTTTCACCTTATAGAATTTCACTTTCGTGATTGCAGTTCTCTTTTAACAGTCATGGCTGAACCACATGTTAGTCTACTGCACACTTAAGTTGCCTTTAATCTTTTCTTTCTTTCATTCTTTCTCTTCTCCCCCTCCTCCTCCCCCTCCCCCTCCTCCTCCCCCTCCCCCTCCTCCTCCCCTTCCCCCCCCCCTCCCCCTCCTCCCCTTCCCCTCTCCCCTCCCCTCCACTTCCCCTCCCCTCCCCCTCCTTCTCCTTCTTTCTCCTCATCTGAGGATATGTTTCCATTGACTTTTAGGGAGAGTGGAAGAGAGAAGGAAAGACCGAGAGAAACATCGATGTGAGAGAAACACGTCAGTTGGTTGCCTCCTGCACACACCCCGACCAGGGCCATGGCTGGGGAGGAGCCTGAAACCAAGGTACATGCCCTTGACCGTAATCAAACCCTAGACCCTATGATCTGCAGGCTGACGCTCTATCCATTGAATCAAACTGGCTTAGAGCACTTTTTTTCTTTTCCATAGTAAGGCAGGGCT